TAGAGTGCCGTGGCGTCAGCCTAGCTCACAGCAACCTCAAACTCCTGGGCTCAAGCGATCCTCCTGCCTCAGCCTCCCAAATAGCTGGGACTACAGACATGTGCCACCATGCCCAGCTAATTTTTTCTATATAGATTTTCAGTTGTCCAAATAATTTCTTTCTATTTTTAGTAGAGACGGGGTCTTGCTCTTGCTCAGGTTGGTCTCAAACTCCAGACCTTGAGCAATCCACCCACCTCGGCCTCCCAGAGTGCTAGGATTACAGACTTGTGCCACTGTGCCCGGCCACACAGATTATTTATTTAATAAGATATTAGGAATCCAGGAGTGAACATGCAAGATAGTATCTTTTTCTTGCTAAATAGTACAGTCTATTGAGAGAGGCAGTTTGTGAAACAAAAAATTATTTAATAGTGACAGTCATGAGTGCTACACACACAGGGCTTCTCTGAAAAAGAAACATTTCAGATGAGGCTATAAGGGTAATAATTAAACAGGTAGAAAAGTACTGAAGAGCAATCTGAGTATAGAGAACAGCAGTTGCAATGGCTGGGATGTTGCACATGGTTATGGAACAGAAAGATCAGTGAGGCTGGAGTGTAGTGACAATGGACTGTTCAATTTTCATGTAAATCAACCTGGGATGTCCTCTGGCTTGACACCTTGCTTATTAAAAGCACATCCACTCTTCAAGGCCTACCTCATCAAATGCCTATCTCATTTCTTAAGCCTTTCCTTTTAAGCTATTATTCTCTCCTCTGAACTCCCAGAGCAGTTTGATTGTATCCCTCTTATAGTACCTGTACATATTATAATCTAAGACTGATTTATTTTACCATCTATACTGAGCCATAAACTCTGGAGTATAAGACCATTCCTTACTAGCCTCTGACTCCTCTGAATCCCTAGAAAAGTACATTGCACACAGAGGTGCTCAGTAAATATTAGTTGAATTGATGAAAACACTTAAAAATACAAACACTTAATGAAAGAGAAAATATTGGAAATCAGTTTTTTTTTCAAAATTTGTATTTCAAAACTTGACATTATGATGAAACTAGGGGTTAAATTTAAATGATACTTTTTTCTACCTCATTCTAAATCATATAACTATTTAGGCCATGATATATTAATTCAACAGGTATTTACTAAATTTCTGCCATATATAAGGTAATCTGCCAGATGAAGCTAATCAAAGAACGCTGCTTTCCTAAATCAGTACTCCATAGTGCAAAGCAAAAACAAAAACAAAAACAAAAACAAAAAAACCCCTTTTAACTAGGGCTCACATAGTGCCGCAAGTCTGAAATAGCAGCCTGACGAAACAGCATCAGATTCCTAACCCACATGTTAATGGATTACCTTCCTTGCCGATGCATAATTTATGAACTAAACTGCTGCTTCTAATATAATCACTTTTTTTAATGAAACTACGAATTCACCTTCTATAGAAGAATCAGCATTAATATAGGCCACACCACGCTCTTGAAGGAGTCTTGAATTCTCCTATAATCAAAAAAGAAAGAAAACAATTAACATATAGTCAGAACCTCCCTCCCCACAAAATGCACATCTACATTTACTCTATGTAGATTTCTAAATTAAGCTGGACTGTATTAACCACAAATTTGACATAAAAGATTTTCCAATGAGAGTTGGTTTGAAAGAATTTCAATAGAAGTTATTGGTAAGAAACAACAAGCAAAACTTTTTAACACATTGCCACACTAGAAAAAAAATTTTTTCCTTGGGGCCACAGTGTTTTATTATGAAAATAGAATAAAAACTTAGAAAGCAAAATGATCCTTTCTAATTTAATGAAAAATTTGTTATTTTTTATTGTTTTCTCTGCATGAGTTATATGTAACTTGAAAAATAGTTCAAGTGGCTCCCAAGGTAAAGAGAAGTGTAAGTTACACATGCTTCACGAAGCTCCGGGCTCAAAACTAGCATGAGCTAAATACAATTCACATAGCAGTCAATGTGTTAAAAACCAACATTTAAGATGAAAAGTCCACATACTTACGATAAATGGCAAATTAGTTAATTTATTTATTTATTTTTTTATTTCAGCATAATATGGGGGTACAGATGTTTAGGTTACCTATATTGCCCTTGTCCCCCCTCCCCCCACAAGTCAGAGCTTCAAGCGTGTCCATTCCCAGGATGGTGCCCATCGTACTCATTATGTATGCATATACCCCTCCCTTCGTCCCCCTTCCCACGTGCCCAACACCCAGTAAATGTTATTCTTATATGTGCACTTATGTGTTGATCAGTGAAACCAATTTGCTGGTGAGTAGATGTGGTGCTTATTTTTCCATTCTTGGGATACTCACACTGGGTAACAGACTTAAACCTAAGGAGTGAAACTATTAGAATTTTAGAGGAAAATGTTGGAAACACTCTTCTAGACATTGGCCTGGGCAAAGAATTTGTGAATAAGACCCCAAAGGCAATCACAGTGACAACAAAAATAAATGGGACCCGATCAAATTAAAAAGCTTCTGCACAGCCAAAGAAACTGTCACAAGAGCAAACAGACAACCTACAGAATGGGAGAAAATTTTCGCACGCTACAAATCCGATAATGAGTTCATTTCTTAACCATACTGTAGTTTATCCTTCAAAAATTTCTCTTAGCAAACATGAATGACTTTTCAGTGAAAATATTCCCATTGACATCTCATTATTTAAGCAAAGAATCTTGCCTGATTCACAGGGAATGAGCTATTCAAATTTAGAGGTTGACAAATATATGACGCTAAATCATATTTCTGTACCCTGAACATGAAGTCAAGTTCGCCTGTAGGATCGCTCCATCTAGTGGTGAATACTGATAATTGCACATTTTAAAGAACAAAAAAGGTATAGCAGTTGTTTTTCAGATTATCAGTATGGGTTTCGAGGCTCCAAAACATATAATTTCCTAAGCATTCTGACTGTAAGGCAGAAAATGAAAAAAAAAATGAAACTCTAAGTGAATAAAATAATTTGAAAGAAACAAATCACATCCTCAAAATATTTAGGCTCTTCCAGACACCAGCATAATTCTTTCTTGTAAAAGCTTCAGGTAGGTCTACTAGAGCACTATTTTTATTCAAAGAAATTTGAAGTTCACAAGGTTACACATAATACCTGGAGAATAACAGAGCCACAGAAATATTTATAGCATGACTAGAAGTTCATGGAATAAATATTAACTTTTTATATATTAGTTTACAGCTAATGTTTCTATTACACAAACCCAACAATACATGCAGGTAAAATTACTTTTCAAGGAGCCTAGCAAATATTATGTGTTTCTGCCTTACTTGCAGCATGATTTAACATAGAGTAGGTCATTATCATATAAGGAAGATAAATGTGAAAAGTATATCTTACTGTACAAGCTCAAAGGGTACTCAAATGTGGTTAGCTTTAGGAGCTTAATAGAAATCATAATAGAATCATGATAGAAATCACAGGCCAGGCACAGTGGCTTATGCATGTAATCCCAACACTTTGGGAAGCTAAGGAGGATTGCTTGAGGCCGGGAATTCAAGGTTGCAGTGAGCTATGATCACACCACTGCACTCAAGCCTGAGTAACACAGTGATATCTTGTCTCTAAAAAAAAAAAAAATAGAAACCAAACATGTTTTGATGTTTGGTTTCTAGTATATCTACTCATTTATTATCACATTCTCAGGAAAATAAAGATAAATTCATTTTTATAATTGACAGTAAGTGGGTCTAAAAAGTTCAAACGAAATTTAGTTCTTTAGCAACAAAAGAGATTTTTATTGTTGATTTTTAAACAAGTATAGGTTGCTTTAGATTGTTTGGAAAAACACTTTGAATATTTTCTCATTGTATTTACCTCTTATTTTTACATGTTTGGAAATTAAGTCTTAACTGCTTTATTATAAAAAATTATATTGTAGCAAATTATCAACTAACCTCTGCCCACTCAGTAGAACCAAGAAGACCAAATTCTTCTGCATCCCAGCTTGCAAACAAAATTGATCTTCTAGGCCTCCGTCCTAAAATATATGTGTATATATGAATGCTAGAAAAATTCATAATATATCCAAGACATTACCAAGCTCAAATGGGGAAAAAAACCAAAAACTTCATTGGTTGTTTAGGAAGAGTAAGTTGTGGTGAGAATCTTTACTTATATAATTTCCTTTTGGAAGATTTTAAAATGTTTTGTCAATACAAAATAGCACAGCTTTATAGAAAAGAGGAAAAATATAGACATAATAAAATCCAACAATGTCATAAATATTCTAACAGGTTTATAATGATTGTCTATGCATAGGAAGTCATTGGTGGTTTGCAGCTGCCTAGAATGAAAGAACTTGCTAGATGCAGTCGGTGTTCTGAATGCAAATATAACTAAAAGAAAATTCTTTAGAATTCTTTCCTGTTGTTCTAACATTAAATGAACAATTGTTCAACATCAGCTGGTTGTATGATTTCACTTCATTCTCTGCCAGAAGTAGTCAACAGGGGCTCAGTTAGCATTAGCAATGTCTGCTGCTACTGCTGAAAACTACAGAATTCAGTAGGGAGGTCACATGGCTTGGAGGTTATAAATACTGACCTTGGAGTTAAATAAAGGTTCTTATTTGAAACCCTGGTTCTCTCACCTACTAGTAGTGACTGAAGGAAAATTATTCACATTTACTAAGCTTCCATTTCTTCATCTGTATACCAGAAATTACAGAGTAAAAATGAAGATACCACTTGATCATAGAGAGGAGTAAATGAAATAATGTTTATAAAGCATGTAGTAAGTGCTCCAAAAATTCGGAGGGGGGA